TATAAAGTATTAGATAATGAACTACAGCGAATACGTACTATGAAACAATTATTTTGAACCAGGCTAGAAAATCACATCTGAAACCTCTAATATAACCCGAAATCGGAATCGAACAAACGGAAATTTTGTCAAGAAATTGTAAAGTCAGGAGAATACAATCGGATAATCGCGATCAGATAGAATTTGTAGGAAATATACCACTTGCCTTTACAATGCCTCGTAATGTGCACCGATAGTTGTCAACGGTAGGGAATGATCTATCGAAGTATCTACAACTGTGCCGAACTACACACAATTGAGAGAATACCCTAATTAAGTCACTTTTAGAATGAATAAATGAATGAATGAATACAGATTCCTTAACATAAAATGATATTTATTCAATAAACAATGGCCATGTGGTTGTAACCACGACAAAATCTGTAATTTCAAGTGAAGAATTGTGCATTTAACGCAAATGAGGCGACTGAAAAAGCAACTTTGCTCAACAAATCGATAGGCCCAATCAAGGCAGTTATTGGCATGTCAACAGAGAGGTGGTGACGTTCAGGTGTCAAATCAGTATTTCCTGCACATGTCTTAGATTAACCCAAGCTTATCGAGGCAATGTGTTGAAGTGAGTGCCCATCCAATTGCACCACACATCGCATTCATTAGTGGGTTCAAGAGATGACTCCAATTAGGGAAATAATTATAGTCATCCAAAACTGCAGTGCACTGCTCATCATATGAGGTCGTACACATCGCCATACAAAGAGGATTTGTAATTAATGGTGTAGTACATAGAATTCGGCTAAGTATATATCAATAAGCTATCATTTGAATTGAAGCCACTACTACATTATAATAATTAGTTTTAATTATGTACCATCCGCCCCCATAATTAATCACGGACAGTAGTATAAAATGGTTGGCAGTGAGAGACGAATTCCATTTTCTGCTAACAATGTCATCTGGTAATGCGGGTTTCAATGAAGAGGACGTGAATAAATTTTTACGCCCTAAACCTGGAACTGAAAAGCTGTTTGAAGGTCAGAAAGATATACTTGCTGACGACGTCTCAAGTCTCTTCCCCTTCAGGTGTCCATCGCCATCCCCACCTCCATCTCCACCTCCACCTCCACCTCGATCTCCAATTCCACTTCCACCTATAATCCCACCTCCACCTCCACATCCATCTCCACCCTCACCTCTACCTCCATTTCCATCTTCAACCCCACCAGGATGTCCATTTATATTTCCACCTCCACATCCACCTCTACGTCCGCCTGTACCTCCATCTCCATCTCCATCTCCACCTCCATCTCCACCTCCATCTCCACCTCGACCTCGACCTCGACCTCTATCTCTACCTCGTGAGTGGGGCAATGATACGGCGTGGGAGGAGGCAATGAGGACTGAAGGCAGCGGTGATGCCAATGACATGGACAAATGCAAAGGAGTCTGAGGTCCTTCTGTTAACTGTGGTGGGGAGCATCCTTGCAGAGTAAATGTTCTCTGTGTGCTTATTCCTCTCCAATAAAAACAAATCATTGGAACATCCTTTTGTTCTTCCTCAACCCCACCTTCTCTGGTTTCCACTTTGTAGGGACAGTTTCATGTTATTTGTTTAGTTTCATAGAGGCGTATATAGGAATATTACCGCATTAGTGTTGTCGGATACAATAGGAACAATAAATCATTAACTGTTCACCAAATTTAGTTCGCGACGTTAACCCAATTGAGTGTATCTTGGCATTTTACTTCACAGGAATGATTTCTATCAACGTCACTACAATTCCTCAATTTCCTAAACAATTTTTGGCAATTAACTATCGGATATACCCGCATAAACAAAGTAAAATTCACTCGAGGCTTAAATGGGTTATTTAACTCGCAAATTGAAGAGATGAAGTTAATTGAAATAGATTAGTAAAAGTGGATTGAGTTGACAAACATTGGAGTATTGATTTCAACTTCAATGCTTAATTTTATTGTGAAGAATTGAGAGAGAGAGAGAGAGAGAGAGAGAGAGAGAGAGAGAGAATTTTAGGGAGGGGGGAGGGGAAATTGTGGAAAGATATTTGCAAAAGAGGTGCTAAAATTTGGCAACTTTTAAATGAAGAATATGTCGCATTGCGTTAATGAAACGACTTAAATAACAACATGGCTGAACAAATTGATAGGTCAAATGGAGGCTGTTATTGGCTTATCAACAGAGAAGTGGTGGTTTACAGGCATCAATTCAGTACTTCCTGCGAATGTCTTAGATCCCCTCAGGCTTTAAGAGAATAGCTTTTGGCAATTGGCATCTCAGCATGTTGAAGGAAGTGCCAATCTTATTGCACCACATAGCACAATCAACAGGGGCTTCCAGAGTTGATTCAAGTTAGGGAAAATAATTATGGTCAGCCAAATGGACGGTGGATTGCTCTTCATTTGAGGTCTTGAACATTGCCCTTGTCTATAATCCACCCCACAATAGACCCAACTTCCATCTTCTGAACATCTCACTCAAAACTATGGTACTGTGCAACTTCAAAAGGCCTTTCCCCAGATGTGACTATTAGAGCATAAACACAGTTGGGAAAGAAATCGAAGATATGCTCACCATCAGTCCTCTAGAACCAATTCACAACGATGAGGATCCTGCTGCTTATCTTCCCTACAATGTAATCAGAACAACCCATGACTTGCTCATGGCCTCAAGAGATATAAGTGAGCTTACACACTGTAAAATAATTGACGATCCTGTTTCTGACCACGAATCAGACATTGCTAGTACAACCATCGGCAACAAATGCACAGCACCCAAAATGCCAATCAAGCTATCTCGGAACTTCAAGAATGCCGACTGGCCTAAATTCACAGAGTTTGTAGGTAATTTGGTTATTTGTGAATAGAAGTAGTAAAATGGCATTTTTCCAAGGAAATGAGGAAAACACAAGTCAAAGTGGGTGCACTTTCGAAGCAAATAACTATTTCAAGATTGTCTCCTTCTGGAATCAACTACTTCCCTACATGATCTCCACTTGAACCAATCTGAAGCGTTCTCGGATTATTGACGAATGCATGTAGGTCAGTGTAGCCATTGCTCTGCTCTTTATGTGCTGCAGGTTTGAAAGTGCCGATTTGGATTCCTCAATGCCTGGTCTCAATCGATTCCTATGCTTAACTCTGCTGTTGACTTCTGCACGAAAACGCCCGGACCTATCCCTAGTCATCTTTGGGACAAAATCAGCTTGTATGGAATGGCTCATTAAATTGAATAAGGTACTTAAACGGTTCAGAGGAACCAGTAGATATGACGTAGAATACATTGATTGTTATTGTGTCAATTCTCAACTGTCTACTCGATTCATGGGAAGGTGGCATAGAGCTTAGTCACAAATACTATTTTTGGTACGCTGACCCCGTAATCACCATTGACTATCGAGTGCAATTGAGATCTTTGCACTCGGTACCTCATTCACACCCCCAACAAACAGTCATCATACCGACCAAACGTTGCAGATTGCTCAAACCCATGAAATGGATTAGTATTATAGTCTTCAGATAGCTCTCTTTGCAACTCAAAGAGCGTCATTCTCCTCGATGTCATTTCCTTGCAATGTCACCACAATTCCGACCTTCTAGGAGTGACGGATTCAAAACTCACAAACAGATGCTGAAACACCCGCAGTATGCACACTCCTTTTACGACTTTCACTGCTTTATTATGCATCGTGACTTGTTTCACAGCAGACTGAATCTCATCCTCTCCTCGAACACACCTCCACACAAGGAACTAGTCTCCATTCAGGAATCAAATCTGGTATAAGGATTCAAGAGAATAACATGAAATAGTTTTGCAAGAAGGGCACAACTCGAAAGAGAAAATTTTCATTATTATTTAAATGACATTTAACCCTCACTGTATTGAGGTGAACTACTATGAATAAAGGGTGTGTTGAAGATCACCTTCAGTTGATTTCTCGACTCTTTCATTGATGTGCATTTTCATGAAGCTATTTTTTCCGAAGTATTGCACTCAACTTACAGATCTGGCCTCGAAAACTGAAGATGATTGAGAGAATCGGTTGAAAGCGGATTTATCAACCATTGCCTTTGAGGAGTTGTGGAAGAAATGCTTTTAGCTATCCAAGAGTAAATAAACTTGAAGTTTTATCTTGGAAATGTGTGGATATAAGGCAACGTGGCTAGAATGGTGATTTCACAGCAATTTTTCGTCCAAATGTTAATGACAATCTTCATGCCCTAATTACACGCAACAAATAATTAGCGTGTAAAAAGATGCAAATCGGCCACAGGAGGAGCATTAGATAAAAATGCGTAATTAATATCTCGGACACATAGAATTCGGCTCAGGATATGCTAGTAAGCTATCATTTTAATTGAAGCCACTACTACATAATAAGTAGTTTCACTTATCACCACCCGCCATCCACCCCTCCCTTCCCTCCCCCCCCACCCACTCACTCCCATAATTATCCTCGAAAATGCGTATAAAATGTTTGGTATTGTGAGACGAATTCCATTTTCTGCTAACAATGTCATCTGGTGATGCTGGTTTCAATGAAGAGGACGTGATGAAATATTTACGCCCTAAACCTCGAAATGAAAAGCTGTTTGAAGGGCTGAAAGATATATTCGATGACGTCGAGCCAATTCTCATCGGCTACAACATCTGCCCTTTCAGCTGTCCAACGCCGACTCAAACTCCACCCCCTTCTCCACCTCCATCTCCTCCTCCATCTCCACGTCGTGAATGTGGCAATGATAAGGTGGAAGAGGCAACGAAGATTGGAGGCAGCGGTGATGCCCCTGACATGGACAAATCCGAAGGTGTCTGAGGTCCTTCTGTCAACTGTGGTGGGGAGCATCCTTGCAGAGTACATGTTCTTTGTGTGCTAATTCCTCTCCAATAAAACAAATCATTGGATCATCCTTTTGTTCTTCCTCAACCCCACCCTCTCTGCTTTCCTTTTTTTGTGACAGTTTAACGTTATTTGTTTAGTTTCATAGAGGCGAATATATGAATACTACCGTATAAGTGTTGTCGGGTAGATGTTTGATCACAGTATAACTGAAGATTCCTGTATCCCAGTTGATGTTTTTTAATCTATGTATCATTTCCATTGAACTAGTTCAGGTTATTTTAAGAAATTGGTTTAGTCTTAATGTGAGGAACTTAATGGACAACCACACATCGCTATTGATTTCATACTTCATAAAAGTATTCCTTATAAGTGGTGACATCTTTAGTGCCTCGGACAACAAATATGAAGTCTACACTGAACGAAGTGGAAAGAGGTCTCTACAGTGGTTGTTTTAGAGAGATGTTGAGGAAAGTTTAGGACGATTTACAAAACTACAGACCTGTGGTAGACTACTCGCTGCCTTTATTCCCAGTTATGGA